GCCATTTAAAAATGCATATTTTGTTGCATATTGTACTAAAGAATTATCTCCAATGGACTATCTCAGATCCATACAGAAAAGGTACAATAAAAATACAGTAAGATAGCAGCAGAGAAAGCTTCTACTCTTAATACTCTTTCTCATATCAAAACCAGACAAGGTTGAGCACAGCTTCAGGGCAGCGACTGACTCCTCTATTCACTGACACAAAGCCTAACCCCATACAGAGTCAGAAAAAGTGCACATCTCCCAGGCTATGTCCAAGCTACCTCTGCCTCTAGCTGTTGGCACGTATAAATGCCCCTAAACATATGTGTTTGCCCATCTCCCTTTCATGGCCTAACATGAAAAGCAGAAGAGGGGAAAAACAGCTGAACTGCCAAGCTGGCATAATTCTCATTTCCATCACCCCAAAAAGCTGTTTTACATCCCATCAACTATTATATTAAATAAATAGCATCAATACAGCTGACTAGAAGCTCCTACTAATTTCACAGCCATAATAGAGGATCACAGAAATATTCAGTAAATTTTCATTTGGTTATTTATATATAAACACAAAATACTGCCCTTTTTGCTTTCTTTCTAAATATTTTAATACTTGAACATCACAACAGATATTTTAAGACCTGCAGGGGCTAATTTAAAGGTAAAAGAAAAATCTAGAGTAGCTCTATCAGGCTAAAAGCAGCGCACAAAGATTAGATCTGAGAAATAAATGCCAAGCATTTTACTGCTTATTTAAACCTGCCTCCTTTGATGATGTGTTCCCTTGGGCTACTTCTACAATAGCACCGAGTAGGAAAAAGCAGGAATTTGAAACATCTGAACAAGCAGTGCAGTGTATCAATCAATGTGACAACTGCAGTCCACCCTCGTCACCTTTTACATTTGAGTCTGTCATAGGCTTGCTGAATGTGGTAGGGTGATCAAATTTTAATGAACAAGAGAGCCTGGGTTTTAGTCATTTCTTGCACAGCACTGCCATTACTGAATGGTGAGCCTGGACCAGTACTTCTTCAGTAGCGCCTGATTTACTTTGTATGCCTACTGAGGGTGATTTATTCTGCATTTTTATGCTTACTGAATGCTTTGTTATCTTTACTGTGTTAAAGTTTTTAAGAGTTGCAGTGGTAGATGTATCCTTACCTTTATCCATGAGCTAGAGCTGACAATATCCATCAGTAGTTAATTTCCTTAAGTAACTAGAGTCAAGGTCATTTCTGTCATCTGTAGCACTCAGTTCAGCTAATAAACACAACAGTAGGTGCAGGGCCTTTCTTCTTGTATTTTAAGATGGGCCTTCCCACTCTAAATACAGATCTGTCAGTCCTATTTCATACATCAAAAAAGACACAAAGGAAACTTTGCTTTCTAAACGACCTTAAACATTTATGCAATGGCATGAAGAAAAAACATCATAGCCCTTGGACTAAATACAAAATGGAAATCCTCTAAAGAACATACAAGCAACAAAACAGAAACTAATTAACTAGAGAAGGAAGCTTGGAGCAAGAAGGGGGAGAGCACAGTTTCTGTTCATAGCAGTAATTTTACTGCAAGGTCAAAGGAAACTGAAGAGCTCAGCTGTACTGAGTGGCAGTCCAAACCAGGTGGGAATGCACTAGATCATGACTGAAGTTCTTCTCAGACCAAAAATTAACTTTGCAAGTTAAAAATGGACAGAACACACACAAAAAAAAAAGTGGAGGAAAAGAACAGATTCCTAGTGTAGGCGACAAGCTCAGCCTAAGATGGAAACCATGGACATGTTCTCTCAAAGCCTGCAAGATAAAAGGCTTTTTAAACTTCTGTTACTAAGCAATGCATCTGGGGACTTGGCAGAGTTTACTGAAAAGCAGCAGCGGATGGGACTACAGCACACAGGAAGCATGGGAGGAGAGACTCATTGCTGGGAAATGCAAGATCAACGTACAGAACCTATACATGGTAACAGTGGGAGGTGTAAGAAACCTGCTGCAACCACAGAAAATGCTACTCAAAAGAAAAAAAAGGTTTGGGTCAGATCATAAGAGATTGAATTCAGGCTATTTAAACAACCAACAAAACCTGAACATAGGTATTAAGAGATTAATATCACCTCCTTGGTATCATGAAAACAGATGTGAAAGTGACTAGTTGTCTCAGGTCTTCACTGTGGTAATAATATCAATCCAAAACTGTCAAGAGAAAACTAGAAGTTGATACAAAGACACCTTCCCTTGGTTTTTATTTGCATTCTATTATGGTAGACCTCAGACTATTAAGAAGAAAGACGTAGCCACCAAGAACATGTTTTCTTCAACTGTATCACCATTTAGTTTTGTTTCTTTGCATACTCAATTTCTTCATTTATCACCCCTACTTCAGAGAAGCACAGAGACTCACGTTCAGACAAGCCTCTTCTATGATCTTATTATGAGCACTGCAGTTTTGGAAACACCAAGTGAAATAGTTAGCAACCAAAGTAATATTAGGAGAGACAAGAACACTGCTTTCCATGATGCCCATGTTTTACTTCACAGCAACAGTGCATCCATTTAGCACTGACAAAAGACAAAAAGCTGTGCCGTGATACATTTCAATAAAAGTTTATGGTAATACTTGAACACTGTATTTCAGTTAAAGAACCTCTTAAAGGCCACTAATATATAACTGCAACATTGTTACTGTTCTGCTAGAAAGTGGGGGGGAGGCATGCTCTTAGGGAAGTAATAGCAGTAAAATTAGGTAAGTAATGTGTTCTTGTTGCCATAAAGTTTGCAAATGTTATCTAAAAAGACATGGTTCAAAACCATGAAAATACACTGGAAAGCACCAGCATGAAAAGGCAGACAACATACTGGCAATAGTCTAGAAAACAGCTTTGTGTACAGTTTGGATAATAATTTTCTCTAAAACTGACTGAAAGGACTTAGTGTATGTACACTTTTTTCATTTTTTCATTTTCATTTATGTACACATTTTTCATAATAGAGATGCCATACTGAAGATTCCTAATATAATAGGCTACAACTTTACCAGAAGAAAGCAACAGAGACTGTTCCTGCATCCTGTATTTCAAGAGAGGAGGACGACCCCTTAGCTCAATGGAAGCTGTATCATAGGAACATGCAACTACTTAAGTGCCAGGGTTTTTTTCCACCAGTGAGAAGGCTTAAAATTTATGTCACTATCCATGACATTAAAGGTGTCCCAGGTATCAGCACCTGATAAAAAGAATAAGGAAAAAACCCAAATGTGTTTCAGAGAATGTAAGTTTGAAAACAAAAGGAACATTTTAAGCATAAGTAGCAAATCAAGGAACTTCCTGCTTTCAAGGTCTTTATTCTGAGGCTGGTGGTTGTTAGTGTTGCTACAAGACCACATTAGTCCTTCCACAGAAGGAACATGCTGAACATAAACGAGTGGCTGGGAATGTCAGGCCATAGAGAAGCTGAGATGCAGGAAGTAAAATGACAGAAGGCACATGAAAAAGATTAAATTGGGCAGATGAGGCATTTCTCCTGAGAAACTGGGCTAAACTGACAGATAGAATGCACTGTAAGGGACAGACAAACAGTCCAAGTTTGTGCACAGCAAGGCAGTAGGGACCAGTATTTTTTGGTTAAAAATCAGCATGTGTTTCAGCATGTACGTCTTTTAGACATGCAATCACACAAGATCTGCAGAGGCAGGGTGAAACTTCTTTCTTACCGCTTGTCTGGTTTATCAGTTTGCTCACACTGATAGTACATGCTTTGCTACATGTCAGAGGAAAAATATTCCTGTATATATATACAAATATATATATACATGATTAAACACTCCACTTACTGCAGTAGTGCACAGCAGAACAAGGGCCATACAGCCTAACACAGCAAAATAAGCTGCCTATCTGCGGGAAAAGGACAACTAAGCACCTATGGTCAAGCATGCCAAAGAGGGCCCACAATTCTCTTTTCTGAGATGTGTTCTGAAGAATTTTGGCACTTCATAATAAGCAAGGCTCCCACAACATTTGAAAGGCAGATTTCAGGAACTAGGTCAGTGCTCAGCAACATGCTATTTGTATCTTAAACATAAGGATGGTTTTAATTTCCCAAGCAAATGCATACCAGCAGATACATCTGCAGAAACATACAGAAATGGGTTGTTTCCCTTTTCTCCACTTTTGAAGTACATTCTCCACCTTTTCCATGAGTCATGAAACACAGAGCAGTACATGCTGTATTAAAATACTGTGTATTTCTTGGACAATAACTTAACTGGATCATAAAGCTTGAGTCAAGACTTTATAAGCACTGAACCTCAGGATTCCTGTTAAACAGAATACGCCACTTTTTACCTGAAAGATTTTTAACAGTCATACCTTATTTTTCATTGAAATATATGTTCCAAAGATTAGGCAAATAACTTTAGCTAGATATGGATGCAACTAGCATTTTAAAGGACTGCACAGTATTCAGGCAACAGGAGAGAAATCCAGCTTCCCATGTTGGTGGTCGAGAGTTCACCTCTCACAACTCTCTTTGATTGATTTGTTAGAAAAGTTAATGGTCACATTTTAATATTTGCATTACCACACAAGGATCAGTCTGCCATTCAGGCTTTGTGCAATGACAATGCCTGACATTTTTTAATCCTTTGGCTTCCCTAAAGCCAAATATTATCTGTGCACATGAAAGTGAGTTTGCTCTATTCATCCTGGGATTTTCTTGGTCACTGTCACTTAGGTCCTCCTCACCTTTCCCTTCCTTTCCCATCCTCTACAATTCAAACAAATAAAGGCTCTTTCCAAAAACACTTTGGATAAATTTGATCTTAAGGACAGGAAGATATCTGTGTGATAACAGTCTAGAACAGACACTTCTTTGTCCCCACTAAACCAGGATGTTAGTTCCTTAATTCTCACTAAGCTTGGCCAATGAGCACTAATTTAAAAAACAGTAAAAACCAAGAAAATGTGAACAATGTAATTAATCCTACAGAAACAAGACTGTGCCAATATTCATACTTACAGGCTGAGGCTGTTCTGCAATACAGCAGTTGAAACACAACCAAAACTCACTCATTGTTTACAGTCTGAAGTGGGAACACAGATGAAATGCAGGACTCAGCCTCTGTAAATCTTTCTCCAGGTAGCAAGTCCTTTAAACAGGTTTATTTATAATGGTTCCAATGTGAAAATCCTTTCTCTGTTGAGCTCTTCTCCAAAAACAAGACAGTCTCAGGACAAACAACTTGAAGGCAAAAAATTATTTTAGAGTCTTCTTTAAGAACGCTGGTCCCAGCACCACAGAAATGATACGTATGCTTCTTTGGTCTCTAGCGTTATGTGAACCTGAAAACAGAAGTACATTATGTCAAAAAGAAAGAACATGCAGAATTTCGTGCTCCCAGACAGCCACCCATGCCAGTGATTCATTGGTAGTATCTTGAACCACAGGCTGAAGAGACACTGCAAAAAAGTCACATGCTTATTTCTACAGAGTCTACCAACAATGGCATATACCAGAAATCAATATGAGGCTTACATTCCAGCTTTGATTAGATGAAGTCATACCAAGAACTGGTGTCCAAACTTTTGGCAGCCATCTCTGTTTGATCTGTTTCTAGCTTTCAAATGTCATTTTAGAAAGTCAAAATTGCCCATAGGCTACCTTAAACTTCTTAGGCAATTGTGCTTATCAATACTTCATATTTCTCAATGGAAAATTTACCCAGCCCATTCACAGCATGAGACTTAAATAGTATTTAACCCCAACCCTATTCTAAATGGCTGTGGAAATATTGAGAAAACAAATAAATGAATTTCGGTATATGGAAAATTTGCAAAATGTCTGGACTTCACACAGAATCACAGAATATTAGGAGTTGGAAGGGACCTTGAAAGATCATCCACTCCAACGCCCCTGCCAGAGCAGGATCACCTAGACTGGGTTGCACAGGAACGCATTCAGGCAGGTTTTGAATGTCTCCAGAGAAGGAGACTCCACAACCTCTCTGGGCAGCCTGGTCCAGTGCTCTGTCACCCTCACAGTGAAAAAGTTTTTCCTCATGTTCAGGTTGAACCGCCTACGCTCCAACTTGCTCCCATTGTCCCTTGTCCTATCATTTGACATCAGAGAGAAGAGCCTGTCTTAGTCAACTCAAGGTATTTTTCTTTCATTCTCTCTACCCTCCTGCTTCACCTGCAATTGGCTTCAAAATATGACGTTACTTGTAGGGTTTGAAACTGATTCCTTAAGCCTCTAAAATGCCTCATGCGGAGCAACTGAGGCTCCAGATTCCAACTATTCCCTTGCTAAAATAATGTTTACTGGTTAATCTCCAACCCCGTTTCTTTCAGTAAGGGTGCAATAAAAATTCCTCTGAGATTTCACTCTGGTTGTTTATCTTGCCATCTACCATAAACTTCACTTGCAGAGAAAGTGAGATAATGAGTATTCAGAAGTTTTTACATGCATACTCCTCAATAATTCTATATAAGACTGCATGTTTTTATTCACAGGAATGTGTGCATAACTATGCACCATTATTTGTATGCAATTCCTCACAGTATCAAGGTGGCTTGGAGACTCCGTGAGATACATAAACATAAACACACATTCTCTGTTAGCTCCTGCCTTCATCAGTTCCCTCCATGTCAGAAATGCAGTCCCTGGTGTACTACATATGTGCCATGCTGCTGTGCTGCGCAGCCACTGCTGGCCAGGTGCTTCCCAAGACAATGTACACATGCAGAAACGCAGTAGCAACTTTCCTGTACTAAGTCCAAAGCTTCTGGAAAGCTTTTCCACTTCTTATCTTTTAAGAGATAAACAGAGGCTCTTCGAGAAATAAATGCATGCTGCAGCAACACCATCTAACCAGCAAAACCCCAGCAAAAGTACCTGTCTCTCTTAGCTTTCAAAAAGCTACTGGTAGTGTTTAAATTAAGTTTATATGCCCGTTTCTGGCATTTCTTGCCTAAAGATCAGAAAAGGAAGGGGGCGGGGAAAGGCTTTGCTAGCTTTTCCTATAACTAACACAGTATAAAGCAAAGCAATGGTATTAAACAGAACACCTTGAGGGTAAGAAAAAACCTAAATGAAAAACAAAAAAATCCTTCTACACAACCCTTCTTTTTTCAGACACTTCAAAAATGATCTCAGTACAGTGCCAACACGACGTATTTTCACTACAGAAAAAGATGATCATCTAAATCACATGTATGTGTCAAGAAGTTGCAATAAAACCTGGGAATTATCACCCAATAGTATGAAACCCAAGAATAAAAATAACTTAAGTCCCTAAGGAAGTTCTCACTTCTTCATAAGAGTTTTCACTCTTATGAGTTCTCACTCATAATTTTCTCAGTCTTAGTTCCTGAAAGTTTGATCAACTTTAAATAGCAAAAGCTGGACTTGATGTAGAAAAGCTTGATAAGAGAATACTGTTCTCTTCAGTCTCAGAATTTGCATGCTACACAATTCTTTTCTAAACCTGACTCAATCTGTAGCAAAAATTGAACTAAAACGTAGTTTACTGTTAAGCATGTAACAACCGATAATTTTAGTTGAGTAACTGTACAGCTTGTCTCTCTTCAATCTTGGTGGTTCTACAGCAATGCTCCCCCAGTGCTAGCTGCTCAGATTATGAGGAACTGAGAAAGCAAGTACTCAAAGGCAGAGAATTTTGAAGTCTAATATATTGTAACTTGCAGGAGCTAGAAACAGATACATTGCAGTGTGCTTCTCATGCTGTGCAAGTGACCCAGCATTCTGATTTGCAGTTCCTGAAGAGCTGCAAATTTCATGGTTCTAAATGAAATAAATTTAATTTCATGATTCTACAATCAGTACCAAGCAGTTTTACCATCTGTTGTCTTTTAATTAAAAAAAAATAAAAAAAATCATAGTGATGGGAGGGCATATCTGTAAGTCTGCAGAAAACTGACAGTAACTGCACCTCTTAAAAGGCAAACAAAAACTTGGCAGTATTTGTTAAGAGCAGTAGAATTTTACACACCCCCACTCTGCTAAATAAACTATTTTTACAGTGGTCAAGTTAATATAAAAGATCAGGTCTAAATCTGCTGCACCAAAATGGAAAGAAAAAGCAATTAAACTGAAGGCAACAAGCCGTATTAGCACTGCCATGGCAAAAGCAAGAGGTCAGGATTTCTCTGACACTGCTAGGCACTTGCTGAAAGAACAAGTTGAAACAGGAAAATTCTGTTGTTCTCTTCCACATTATTCGTTATAAAGAAAGAGAGAAAGGAGGACCATACTGATCTACAGCTACCAGTCAGGTAATTACCTAGTATCAGCCCAATTGCAATCTTGGGAGAAAGTGTTCCTGCAAAGGCCAGACTCCACCCAAGGAGAGCTGCAATTAATGAGATTCCAAAACACGTGCAACACTTCACAGCCAGTTCTCTGCTTTGGTGCAGGACCAAGCTTTTAACGTGGCTCTGATTGCAAGTGTTGCTGCATTGGTCTGTGCCATCTGGCCAGATGAAGGACAGCAGAGGCTGAAGAACACTGCTTAGGACAGCGGCTCCATCTCTTTGTTTTGCTCTTTACACAGTTTCATGGTGTTCAGAGTGGCAGAACACCATACAGGTCATGTCGAAAAGCCAAGGTGCTGATTCTGTCTTAACCAGAAAGTTAATCAGAGCAATGAATGGTGAAACACCTATTTGCTTTTTCCCATTTAAACTTTCTCAGCTGTGAGAAAGCTATGTTAGAGTATGCAATTCACATTGCAAGAACACACCGGACTATCATGCCGAACAACTCTGTGACATTTCAAGGCTTTTATACCTGATGTATTATTTTAATTTCAACCCATTTATCGAAATTTTAAGTAGTAAGAAGAAATGAAGATATTAAACAGGATACATTGTTTAAAATGTAAAGTGAAAACCAGAAAGTTAATTTTCATTACTCCAAACTTTATTCCACAGTAGCTTATTGAATGCAAAACCCAAAACTACTGCTTATTGTTAAATAGCAGTTATAAAGACAGTGAGTGCAAACACTGCATTAATAGATAGTGGGGGTAAAGCACATTCTCTTACAGTATCAGCAATTTTTTTCTTATTAAAGCAGTATTAGCTTTTCTGTAGGAAATAAACAGAGTAGGAAAGAAGGAGGGGTAAAAAAAAAGAAATCAATCTCCTCTCCAAGCTCTTCACATTTGCTGGCAAAAAGCAGGTTAGAGAGCATTTACCTTAGTTGATCCAAACAGGAGTATGCTGTGTGCTGTGGAGAGTCAGCTAGAATAAAGTTACTTATTAATTATATAGGTTAAGAACACTCCGCAGTTTTTAAAAGCATCCATAAAGTTCCTTTTAAGGGTGAACTCTCTGTATCCTTTGACTGCATTCTGTTGGCTGATGGCTTCAAACAGGAAGTATGGTTAAAACGCACTGACAATTACTTGAAGCAAATAAAACCACAGGAAGAGAAAGAATTTGACTGCAGGTGTTAACATCTGAATTTAACTAGAATTGCTCCAAAGGTCAGACTACTATTTAAGGAGGAGGGGAAAAAAAAAGGTAAAAAAAATAAGTGAAGCATGCACAAAGTCATGACTAAGTATGCCATGTCACAGTACATCATGACATGACATGATGCACGACATGCATACGTAGGTACAAGGTTATGACCAAGACTACTACTAATTTTTTTAGTCTCAAGTACTTGATAAGAAATTTACGGTTATTCTTAATATGGAACTATCACTCCACAAACAACACCCTTTTTTTTTTCCTTAAGGCTCTGAACAGCTATTATTTATTTCAATCCTGCAAGCTGTAAGTAGAAAATTACCATTTCAGAGTGTATTTTTAAGACTTCTTTCATATTTTTCACTTTAAATCTCTACTGTAGTCACACTATTTCCTCTTCCTGCTTAGTAGATTATATAGTCAAATGGCAGCAAGAAAACAGGTGGGCAGGGGATTAAGGTATGTCCAAACCAATGGAGAGGTTGTGGCTGGTGCACACTTCCATGCACCCATAGCTGTAGCAATTGGAAGATGCTCTCCAGCTCGCAAAGGAGGTGAGAAGTGTTTACTTCCTTG